AAAGACAGGTGGAGAGAGAAAAAGATATAGGGACAACTTCCCTCTACTGTTTTACTCCCCAAATTACCGCAACAGCTGAGGAAGGGCAAGGCTGAAGCCAGGAGCCAGGATCACAATTCTGGTTTCCCATGTTGGGGGGCAGAATCCCAATTACTTGAGGGTCTGCATTAGCAGGAAGCTGAAGTCAGCAGTCAGAGTTGGGAACAGAACCCAGGCTCTCTGATGAGGGACACAGATGTGTTAACTGATGAGTTAAATGTCAGTTTCCATATCTTTTGATTTTAACTCTTACAAAATCTATACTGCAACTTCTAAAAATATGCCCAAATTTTTCTTTAGTTGAACCTAAAAAAAGATTTCTAAGAAAAAGGTTTTTACCTATTAACAGGTATTTAAACACACTATTTAACATACTTGCCAAAGAAATAAACTATTTCTTCAGCTTAGCTATTTTTCAGTAGGACTTCTTAGTAGTGTACTTGTTGGGTACATCTACTGATGTCAGGACAGTGATCATCTAACACCATGCATTAGACAGGAATCCTAAGTGTTGGAGTAAAGATTAATCCATTGTTTACTTCCCATAAATAAAAAGTGCCTACATTTATTTTACAATATGTATTTAACAAAAATGTAAGCATGATCTTTATGTGGAAAAATAATGAAGTGAAAAGTAGAAGCACCATTAAAATCTTACTACTTTTAGACTATTTTAAAAATACTAAGAGAAACTGTATCATACAAATTATAAAAGGCTTGTTAAAAATTGTTATATTTTGTGAAAAAATGAAAATTCTAAGATTAAGCCCAAATTATGAAAACTTCTAATTGTAGGTACAGCTCAAATATGTCACAAATATGGGTACTTTAATTAAAGTATTCAAATTAACATAATGAGGAAAAATAAAGTAATATTTTCCACCTAAATTAACAAAGCAAACTAATTGCTTTTACTTATTATGTCCCTTCTTAGCTGAGTATTTTATTTTATTTATTTTTTTACTTTATTTTTTTTTCACAGGCAGAGTTAGACAGTGAGAGAGAGAGACAGAGAGAAAGGTCTTTCTTCCGTTGGTTCACCCCTCAATTGGCCGCTACAGCCGGCGCGCTGCGCTGATCCGAACCCAGGAGCCAGGTGCTTCCTCCTGGTCTCCCATGTGGGTACAGGGGCCCAAACACTTGGGCCATCCTCCACTGCCTTCCCGGGCCGCATCAGAGAACTGGACTGGAAGAGGAGCAACCGGGACAGAATCCAGCGCCCCAACCGGGACTAGAACCTGGGGTGCCGGTGCTGGCGCCGCAGGTGGGGGATTAGCCAAGTGAGCTGTGGTGCTGGCCTCTTAGCTGATTAAAAACTGTATTAAATACAGTTGAGGAGGAAAGGAATACTACATAGCCAAATTGGTAATTCACAATTTAATCAAGACACAATATGCTGTAATAGACTACAACTGAGTTAAGTACAATAGATTATTGTTCTCGTCTTCCGTTCTTTAACATGTGGGTGGAGTTTTCAACATAAGCAAATGAAACACTGTGACAACTATAACATAAGGTAGGGGAGATAAACGGACCTCTCTTTATATAGTTTAAAGCTTCTACAGTTCACTGAAAGTCGTAAAAATTACCCCTAAGAAGTCGAAAGGTTTGTTATAGATACTTATATCCATAAATATTTGGCTTGGGAAAAGCTATACTTCAATGATGGGATATTTTAGATAAATTATAGGACAAAACTGCTTAATGAATAGGTCATTAACGGTGCATACTAATTAAATGACATCACTGCAAAGATTTAAAAATCCAGATGTTATCCTCAGATATCCTTGTGGGAGTAACACAGATGGATAGTCAATGAAATGCATACAGTACAGAAAACCTTAAGGTGATGAAAGAAAAAACTGGAGACACACACAGTACTAGAAATCTGGACTATATCAAGTAGTGTGCAGCAAAGGGCAAACATTTGGTCTAATGGTTAAGACAGTGTGCAGTAAAATGTTGAAGGAAGAAACCCTGGTGCACATTTTAAAAGATTGTTAAAGTTTACTTTTATAACATATTAATTACATTAAGTGGTGACAGTTAAGGACAGCATGTACCACTTGTCTCCTTCTGGTGTTATCTGAATATCATAAACAAGGTAGATGATACAGGAGTCTTCCTATTAGCAGCTCAAGAAACACTGTTGTAATACGAATAGATGGAAGGCAGCAGAGATGTTTATGCTCCCAAATGAGGCAAAACCAAGCAAAGCCAAGCCAAGAAAGCTGTGCCCAAACTGCATTAAAACTATTACTGTTGAAGTCTAAGGATGAATAACTACCGTCCCTTAGTACCTACATTTCTGTTTTTTACCCCCAAAAACACGCTTTTAAAAGCTCACGTAGTGGGCTGGTGTTGTGGCACAGCAAGTAGAGCTGTCACTTATGATGTCAGCATTCCATATGAGCTCCAGTTTGAGTCCTGGCTGCTCCACTTTTGATACAGATCCCTGCTAATGGGAAAGCAGCAGAAGATTCCCTGCCACCCATGTGGGAGACACGTATAGAATTGCTGTCTCCTGGTTTTGGCCTGTTCCTGGTGCAGCCATTGTGGCCGTTTGGGGAATGAAAAGTGAATGGAGGATCACTCTCTCCACACTCCCTGCTCTGCCCAGTAACTCTGTCTTTCAAATAAATAAAATAAATCTTAAAAAAAGGAAACACATCAGCAAAAATTATTCTAAAATTAAAATGTAACTAACTAACTTTGTTAGATTCTATGTTAAGTGCTTAGGAATATTATATCCCTAAGTGTCCGTTAGGATCCAGCAGTGAGCATGATATATAAATAAGGTAGAGAGCAAGGAATACATATATTTAAGGTAGAGAAAATACAGCTAATTACAATACAGTATGCTCAGTACTATCTCTCATCACTGACCTGACTGCCTCATAGGACTAGCCAAAGCTGTCTATTCCTTTTTCTAACACAGCAGCCTAAATGCTCCCAGCGAAGAGCCTTCACTCCAGCACATCCCCAGTTTTGCTCCCACAAATTGAGCTTCCTTTTCTATGTTAAGAATAGTTAACTAGGTTTGTTTCCAAATTTGTTTATGCTATTTTATTTTCTATTGCAATTAGATAATTTAATATTTAACATAAAAGCTTGGAAATGTTTTATAATTTCTAACTAAAAGTAAAAACTTGAACAAATGAGTATTCTACTGAGGTAAAAATGATGAATTGGTCTATAACATTACTTCTGAACATGCTGATATAGAAACTCCTTTCTAAGGTCTAAAACTACTGTCCAAAGTGGTAAACCCTAGACACGTATGGTAGTACAGCATTTAAAATGCAGCTACTACAGCAAGAGAACCAAATGTTAATGTCACTATGTTTAAGTTTAATTAATTTAGCATCCAAATTGAGATGTGCTATGGATGTAAAATGTACACAAGGTTTCAAAGATTTGGTATGAGTAAAAGAAAGCAAAATATCATTTTAATTACACATGATTATTTTGGAAATATTGAGTTAAATAAAAGATATTAATATTACCTTTTTTTTCCTTTTTCTTAATATGATGCCAAGGAAATTTAAATTTATATATGTAGTTTTTATTATATTCCTGTTGGTCAGTGTGGTCTAAAACAATGATGATCTGTCCAAATAACTACTAATCATGAAAACATACAACAGAAAGTTACTATGAATTCAGTGCATCATTTCAGTGATACTATGCTAAATCACAAAAGCATCACAAATAATGCTTAGTGCATCTGGAGACTTCTGGACTCAAATATTTCCAGCATAAGGTTTGAAAAACATTGGTCAAGAATTCATATTGCAATTGGTGATAAAATATGAAATAATGATGAAATGTATTAAATCCCATAATCATGTTTTGAAATGTCTTCCCTACAAATCATCAGACTGCATTTATATTTAAGCTGAAATGCATTTATCTTTCTTATATCCACACAAATATCATTACCTTTTTCCTTCCTAAATTTGCCCATCCTAAAAACAAGTGACAAGCACTTCTGACATTTTCAAAGGTGTTCAACTTATATAACAAAAAATAACCTCTTGGTCAGCAGGTCTTTTATCTGTATGACCAAAGTTAATTATACTAAAATAACTTTTTTTGAATCTTGACTCATCATTTATGTGTTCAAGCTCTTTCATTTCTATCAGCTGAGGTAAATAAAGCCTTATTAGTAAATACAAAAATGTCCTTGAAATACTGGTTCTATTACTAATTAATACTAAATTAATGAAAAAAATCAAGCCAAGTATTTGCATAAGTACACAAGTAGACTTAATAAGTTCAGATCAAGAATAAACAATGAGAAAACAGGTTGGGTACATAATTTCATACACACAAAAAATTTGCAAACATATTAAAAGCAAACATTCAGAATAAAAAACTATGCAGAGGCTAATTTAATATTTATAAAAAGAAATCTGACTTCAACACTATAATATTATTGTGAACTGTGTCAAGCACACAGGTTATCTAACCTGATGATTTACTAGGTAGTCAATTTCATATTCCTATTTTGTTCTGCCAACTCAAAAAGCATAACATTATTTCTAAATAATCTTTCTGAATGCAGAAAGAATGTTATAAAATGCTTCTCCAGAGATTACAATCTTTGCCTTGGCTAAATCATTACAAAGATTAGACTCACTGAAGTTCTTGAGTTTCCTTGAAGGGTGAATTAGGGAAAGAGAGGAGTCTTAAAGATGACAATCTGAAATGCCAGAGTACATACAGTCCAGTAGGTACATCTTGGTCAGTTTCAATTCACAGTTTCAGGAGTGTTTTAGAGAAGGGAATTACTCACCTGACAAAACTCCCAAAAGTACAAATGCAAAATAAAGAACATGTTCTGGAAAAAAATGTATCCTAATTTAAGAAGTAAGCTTAAAGACCCTTTAGTTGGCATCTATTTATATACATTTTATGCCACAGAGTCATACTGAGCAGTGAGATAAATTACTACATACCTGCTAGGAGCTGTTGGATAAATAATTTTTATGTGCTGGAATGTTAAATCTTGATTTAAAACTTGTTTGATCCATGTTCTCAGTCCTAGTCCAGAATCACCTGTTGAATGACAAAGTCTAAAGTAAAATAACCATTTTATTAATATAACACATTAAAAGCAGTCTGTAAGTATCATGTCACACAGATGCTGGAATAAGAGATAAGAAAATATTTATACATAAACATAACTGAATAGACACTGATATGAATTGATCAGGCATTAATAGCTTGGATTACTTTACTCCTTGCTTTACCACTGAACACCTTAAAGGACTTGTTTAAGCTTGAGTTTTAGGTTTACTCATTTACTTCATGGGTATAGCAGGAACAAAATTGATTTTTCTAAAAATAAATTTTTGTATCTCTGATTTTTAACACTATCATGTCTTAGCTTACTCTAAAAAGAACTAAGTTCCAAAGTGATCATACTGAATTTTTTAGTTGGAGCAACTTAATACATTTTTATTGGTTTCAAACAGGAACAACCTTTCCAAAAGGATATGAAGTCTTTCATTTTTAACTTGAATGAAATAGAATTTAACTTTGATAACATGATCTGAAACAGTGATCATATATTCCATGGTTTAAAATAACCAAAATTCATGCAAGGATTGCTGTATGTGTATGTGCATTCAAAAAGGGGAAGGAAATATAGGCCCATTCTATGTAGAAGAGGAAATTTTAGAGTTCACATCTTAATTTTTTAATCAATCATTAGAAATCAATTCCACCAGATACTACCTGAGAGGCAGTGATGTGCAGGGCGGGGGTAGGATGGGGAGTTGGGGAGGTGAGGAGTGGATAGAGTCCTTACTCCCACTAAGTGTGTATCCTATTATGAGGAGTAGCCATCAAATAATCACAAAAATAAATACAAATTATAAATGTAACCACTGCCAACATGAAACACTGGGTGCAGAGGGGTTTACTATGTTCAGAATTGACCTACTAGTTAGTCAGGGATAACTTCACTAGAATATCTGCTCCACACAGCAAGGTTCATTTTGTTTTATCCACTGAGCTATTTGTTCATCTACTGCTAGGAATAGAACTGATACAAACTAGGTATCTTAATATATGGTTGTTGCATGGTCTGAACTAAAATCTGCAGGAAGGTGACAAGTGAAGTGCAGACAGAAAAAGCATCTCAGACAGTGAAGAGGCAAGTGTTTAAGACCCTAGACAGGAGACATAAGTGTGACATCTGAGAACTGAAAAGCAGAGAATGAGAGGAACGCTGACTGTAACATGAGGTTGGAAAAACTAAGAACCTGACAAATCCCAAGACCATGGGGAAGTCATGAGTACCTTTTACAAAAAGGTGGCATGATTCTAAAGGATCACTCTGGAGGCTGTAATTTTAGGGGGACAAATATAGGTGTGGGGAGTTCAGTTACAACACTACCGTTTAGGTGACTGACGCATAGACTAAGGGGATAGCAGTATACACAGAAACTGATAATGGAGATATTTAGGAGGTAAAATTAATAGGGACTGGTAATATATGAGGGGGCAATGGTAAAAGATTTCAAGAATGACCTTTACGATTTTGGTCAGAGCACCTGGTTGAACAATAGTATTATACACCAAGGTAGGAAATACAAGGTAGGAAAAACAAGTCTATACAATATAATAGATACAAGGTCTTATGCCAGGAGTTGGTTGAACAAAGCATGGCCAGCCAGAGGGAAGGACACAAATCCAGCCAATATCTTCAAGGAATATAAGCTAATTAAAGATTTTGCATTTTTAATTATGCCACAAAAAAGAAGAGGGGAAAAAGACCTGATGTGGCCCACAAAGCCTGAAACACTATTTGATCCAGTAAAGAAAAAGCATGATGAACCCCACCGCACACAACACAGATGCCAATACCATCTAGAATACCATCTTTTGCTCTCCTGACTCCAGGCACACGAGCCTTACTACTTCCCCTGAAGTGTCAGGAATTCATCATGGGGCCTTTGTCTCAACTTTTTCCTTGTCTGGAATAGTCAAACCCAACATCCACATGATTACACGCACTCAAGTCTAGCTGCTTCACTGTTATCATCACACTGAGGTACATTCTGATCACCCTATTTAAAACCGTAACACCCTCATACTTTCTGTCCCCCTTATCCACTTTTTTTCTCATTGAACTCACTATACTCTACTATTATTATTTATTTCCTCTATTAGATTATAAGCTTCATGAGAGCTCAGACTTTGTTTGTTTTGTTCAGTGGTCTGTGCTGTAGAACAGTGCCATGTGCACGGGTAGTCACATGATGTATTTCCTGAATGAATGGGTTAAAGAATGAATGTCCTGGGGCCAGCGCCTTGGCTCACTAGTTTAATCCTCCGCCTGTGGCACCGGCATCCCATATGGGCGCCAGGTTCTCGTCTCGGTTGCTCCTCTTCCAGTCCAGCTCTCTGATGTGGCCCAGGAGTGCAGTGGAGGATGGCCCAAGTGCTTGGGCCTCTGTACCCGCATGGGAGCCCAGGAAGAAGCAGGTGGCTTCTGGCTTTGGATCAGCGCAGCACCTGCCATAGTGGCCATTTGGGGGGTGAACCAATGGAAGGAAGACCCTTCTCTCTCTCTCTCTCTCTCTCTCACTGTCTAACTCTGTCAAATAAATTTAAAAACAAAAATGTTTTTTGAAAAAAAAAAGAATGAATGTCTATCAGGCAGTTGGATAAACAGGTCTAGAGCTCAAAGGAGGCCTACAATGAAGAGACACATTTGTGTCAACAGTATAAAAAAGACTCTTCAGGTTTACACGCAGTTTAGTCTGGGGAGAAAAATGTAGAGTAGGAAGAGTAGACCTAAATCTAAATTTTGAGGAACCCCATTGTGAATGTCCAAGTACAGGAGGAGGATGAGTTTGCAAAAGAAACCAGAGGGAAAAAATAGCGGTAGGAAGAAAACAATTCAAACAAGAAGATTGAAAAGTCTGCTAAATTTAGCAACTGACATTACCAGTGACTTTACAAGTGACAACTAAGTCAGCTCATTGAGACATATTGTATGGGGGGAAAAAGCCATAAATTAGATACATAGGGTTTGGCTTTTGTGATCCTTATAATTTAGACTAGAACACAGACATTTGAGGTGATAAGTATGATGACTACCATTGAAACAAGAACTATAGCGTCCTATGGGAACAAAAAACAGCACAAATTAATCTGAGACTGAAAAAGCTAATTGAACTATCATTTATTTTTATCTTCCTAAAATAAGTTATTTCTTTAGTATTTCCATTAGGAAAGGCTCAAATGAAGCTGGCTTTCTATATTTTACACCCCCATATATTTTTTAGAGGCTGTTACATCCTAGAAAAGATCTCAAGCTTTTAAGATTTCTTTAAAAAACACAATGTCCCTAAACATACTTTTCCAGTCTTAAAAATACTAATGTTACAAAAAAACAACTATCCATCCATTCACAATGTTCATTTTTAGGCAGTTTAGTCCAATAGTATGATAACATTCTTAAACTTGGTTTGCTCCTCTTTGGATTAACCAAAAGCCAAACATTTCCTCTAACCACACATATCATAAAATCTGAAATAAAATCATTAGCCTCTACCTTGAATAATAAAGACCTATTCTCAATAAAAGCTTCATTTACTTCAGTAAAGATTTAAATATATGGAAACCACATTGTACTTCCATACTTGGCAAAATTATTTGGGTAAATTCTTTGTCCAAAGTACAAAGGGGAATGTTTATATATAATGCATGACTCTGGGTTTCAGAGATATGTCATCCAGCGCTGTGGCTCACTAGGCTAATCCTCTGCCTAGCGGCGCCGGCACACGGGGTTCTAGTCCCGGTCAGGGCGCCAGATTCTGTCCCGGTTGCCCCTCTTCCAGGCCAGCTCTCTGATGTGGCCAGGGTGTGCAGTGGAGGATGGCCCAAGTCCTTGGGCCCTACACCCCATGGGAGACCAGGATAAGTACCTGGCTCCTGCCTTCGGATCAGCGCGGCGCGACGGCCGCGGCGCGACGGCCACAGCGTGCCGGCCGCGGCGGCCATTGGAGGATGAACCAACGGCAAAGGAAGACCTTTCTTTCTCTCTCTCTCACTGTCCACTCTGCCTGTCAAAAATAGAGAAAGGAAACCCAGAGATATGTCATTACAGGCTATAACATTATCAGTAATTTAACACTGAAGAGAATGGATCCTTATTTTAAATAAAGTGGTCCAGGGGAAAAAGAACAAAATGTATGAATTCTTGTTAAAATACTGGGAATTATTTCTAAGAAGTGAGAATTAGCTTATTTATTAATTAGCTGTATTTACAGTATTCAGAAAATTCAGGGCACTTAAAAGTGTACATCCTATGGTCCTAGCTAAACAGTGCTACCAATCTCCAGCAGATGCAAGCACCGCTGACAATTCTGGACACTTCACCTTCCAAATATATTTCATCAGAAAACCCACAGGCCTTTTTCTTCCCTAACTCGCCACCTTATCCTACCGGAGTACTAATTTTGGAGTCAAAGAAAGATTAAGATTCAAGTCCCCAATTTCTCCACCACTACTCACAGTAATAGCCAAGTGACCTGGGCAAACTGCTGCACCCATCTGGCCCCATTTTCAAAACTCTAGCAACTGCTCACATCCAGTTCTCTGCCCTGCACCTTTCCAATCCCCTCCATTACCCAATCATCAGCCCCTATGGGTCTCAGATCAAAGATCACTGAAAAACCCGAGGAGTCTTCACTTGGCCTGAACCTTGCACCGTCTTGTGATCTCCCAAGCACTGCTGCCTCAAACTAATTGTTTTGGTTTTTAAATGTAGGTAGGCCCCCTGAGGACACTTGCTGCATTTCATTTCTGAAAGAAAGAAAGAAGACACTTGCTGCATGAAAGAAAGAAAGAAAGAAAGAAAGAAAGAAAGAAAGAAAGAAAGAAAGAAAGAGAGAGAGAGAGAGAGAGAGAGAGAGAGAAAGAAAGAGAAGAAGAAGAAGAAAAACCAAACAAAAAACATCTCCTGGGGACTTACCCTGGGCCAAGCACTGGGCATGCAAGGAATAAAACAAGATTCAAGGGTCCTTATTGTGGAGGACTGACAATCCAGTGGGGGTAAGAAAGCCCTAAGTAATTAGGATGAGAGTAAGAAACGCCATAGGAAATCAAGTTAGGGAAGGCAGAATACCCGCCCAGAGAATTCAGAGCTGACCTGGTGCTGTGCCTTGGAGGCTTAATGTCAGAGAGAAAGCGAGGAGTGTGTGGGTGGGCAAGACAAAGGCACGGGGCAAGTAGATGCTCTGCTAATACTCGCAGTGTCTCAGTGAATCATGACTGCGATGGTCCACGTGCGCCTGGAGGCTGGCGCAAGCGAGCAGTGGAAAAAACCCACAGCGGCGGAAAACCCTCTAGTAGCTGGCTCTGGGAAGTCCTGAATAAGTCACTCTCATGAGCAGAAGACTCACCTTCTTAACTCCCAGTTCGAACGCGGGGAGCTGGGACGGGAGTGGTAAGGATGGCACGGGAAAGGACCTTGCGGATGGAGAGCGGGCTGAGAGCCGCGAGGCTCAGGGCGGGAGGGAAGTGTAGAAAGAAGACGACAGGAAGATCGGGGCAACTGAGTAATCCTGCCGGGAAGTCCGCGGCCCCGGGCTGCAGAGCGGAGAGCCACCCTCTCCCGGAGCTGCCTCCACGGGAAAGAAAACTGTGCTAACCCAGGGGAGGATACTGCCTACGCTGCAGAAAATCACGATGGAAAATTGCAATCCACCTGAACCGTGCAGGAAGATCAGAGAGGCGCTGTGCCTCCCAGCCGGCGACACCAGACACCGCGGAAGGCCAACTGAACCGGACGCAGCCGCCATTGTCGGGAACACGCAGGCTCGCAAACAGCCTGAAGGAGCGCGCATGCGCAGCGCTTCTCGCGCAGGCCTGCTTCTGACAATTTGGGTTCAAATAGGGGGTCATTCTAGGTGTACTAAGACTTTGGTTTTGCTGAGGATGGTGTCAGCTGCAAATAGATTAATGAATATATTTATGTCGTGAGCATTAGCTGTGGAATTTCAACTGCAATGCTAAAACTCTAAGCCTTATTTGTAGAAATATTGGTGTTACTCTGTTTAAAATTTTGACAGGATGATCATATTTTACCTTCCACTTTAGGACTTGCACAGGATGTTTGCAGGTTTTTATATGTAGGGTAAGGCAGCCATAAAATGAAAATAATTTAGGGCCGGCATTGTGGCACAGCCAGTTAAGCCAACACCTGCTGTGTCTGCTGGATTGAGTCCCAGCTGCTACACTACCAATTCAGCTTCCTGCTAATGTCCCAGAGAAGGCAGTGGATGATGGCCCAAGTACTTGGGTTCCTGCTACCCACATGGGAGACCCAGATGGGAGTTCCTGTCTGGGAATGAACCCAGAAAATGGAAGATTCTCTCTCTTTCTCTCTCCATTTCTGTTGCTCTGGCTTTCAAGAAAATAAATATTTAATAAATAAATAAAAATATTTTCCTCTGTATTCAAAACATTTTTTTTTTTAATTTGACAGGCCAGGCAGAGTTAGACAGTGAGAGAGAGACAGAGAGAAAGGTCTTTCTTCCGTTGGTTCACCCCCCAAATGGTTGCTACGGCCAGCGCTACACCGATCCAAAGCCAGGAGCCAGGTGCTTCCTCCTGGTCTCCGATGCGGTGCAGGGCCCAAGGACTTGGGCCATCCTCCACTGCCTTCCCGGGCCACAGCAGAGAGCTGGACTGGAAGAGGAGCAACTGGGACTAGAACCCGGTGCCTATATTGGATGCCGGTGCTACAGGTAGAGGATTAACCAAATGGGCCACGGCGCCAGCTCCTGTATTCAACAAAATTTAAAAATCTATTTTATTTTAAAAATTGAATTGAAAGGTAGAGTGAGTGAGAGAGAGAGAGAGAGAGATCTTCCTTCTACTGGTTCACTCCCCAAATGACCTTAAAGGCCAGGGCTGGGCCAGGCTGAAGCCAGAAGCCTGGAACTCCATTCATGTCTTCTACGTGGGTGACAGGGTCCCGAATAGTTGGGCCACCATCCACTGCTTTCACAGATGCATTAACAGGGAGCTGAATTGAAAGTGGAGCAGCTGGGACTTGAACTATTGCTCCTAACTGATGTCACAATCACAGGCTGCAACTTAACCCACGGTACCACAACACCAGCCCCAGAGCAGATTTATTTTCATGACATAGCACTCCACATTCATTAGGATGGCTGTTATCAAAAGAGCAGAAAATAAATGTTGGTGAAGAAATGTAGAAACTGGAACTCTTGTGCATTATTGATTGAGACGTAAAATAATAGAGCAGCTGTGGAAATAGTTTGGTGTTTCTTCTAGAATTTCTATCTGATCCAGCAATTCCTCTTGGAAGTATGCCCAAAATGAGTGAAAATAGGCACTCAAACTGATACTTGCTCCTCAGATATTCATAGGAGAATTGTTCACTGTAACCAAAAAGTAGAAATAACTTAAACATTAACCTATAAATGAATGGACAATCAAAATGTGGAATCCATACAATGGAATATCATTCAGTCATTAAAAGAAAGGAATTCCTACACATGCTACAACATGGATGAAACTAGAAAATATCACGCTAGAGAAATAAAATGGAAACAGAGGAAAATATTTTATAATTATATTTATGTGAAGCACTATGTCTAATTTGGGCAGAATCATTGAGATCGAATATAGCATAGTGGGTATCAGGAGCTAAGAGGAGACAGATAATGGGAAGTTATTGTTAAATGGATATAGAGTCTGTTTAGAATAATGAAAAATTGTGAAAGTTGATAGTAGTGATGTACTAAATGGCACTGAACTTTATGCTTAGGAATGGTTACAATGATAAACTTAAGGTTGTGTGTATTTTACCACAATTTAAAATAAACAACAACAAAAAAATGGAATTACATCCTATAAAGGTGTAAGCATAGATACCTTTTATTTTTTTTGACAGGCAGAGTGGACAGTGAGAGAGAGAGACAGAGAGAAAGGTCTTCCTTTTTTCCGTTGGTTCACCCCACAATGGCCACTGCGGCCGGCATACCGCGCTGATCTGAAGCCAGGAGCCAGGAGCTTCTCCTGGTCTCCCATGCGGGTGCAGGGCCCAAGAACTTGGGCCATCCTCCACTGCACTCACGGGCCACAGCAGAGAGATGGACTGGAAGAGGGGCAACCGGGACAGAATCCGGCGCCCCAACCGATACTAGAACCCGGTGTGCTGGCACCGCAGGCGGAGGATTAGCCTATTGAGCCATGGCGCAGCCACATAGATATCTTTTAATACCAAATGCTGTAACCCCAGTTCATGGCTGTTTTCAATGTGAAACTAAAGAAAATAACCCAGTAGAACTTGAAGTGCCATTAAATACCAAACATCCATTCATAGTAGTCTGCATGATACTTAAGCAATTACAACTCATCTTTCATTTGTTCAAGGTAATCACTTTACTCTCAAGGGATAAAACTGCTCACAATTTATGGTTAGTTGCCAAGATAAGCTCTTTGCTATTACAGTGTTACACCAATGCTGTCAATAGGAATGAGTCTACATGCCATTAGTTAACCAGATCAAAAAGAAATTCAGTCATTTCCCTAAAGCCCATAGATATGCAGCTCAGAGTACTTAAAGTGAAATAATTGAAGAGGACAGGATAAGCTGAACTCTAACAGTCAACTCTTAAAAAATGCTTCTGTCTCTAGGCCTACCTTCTCCAAATGAATTCTAGATACCTTTCAGGGTCCAGGTTGAGAAGAGGGCAGTACTACTAGGAGAGGCCATGGGAGATGTGTCAAGGAAGGTTTTGAGTTTTAAGAACTCAATTTACTGTCATAAAACCTTTCTCTACATTACCCCATGCTTTTGAGGCAGCAAAAATTTGGGAACATGATGATTTAATCATTATGATTATTGTTAATAATACCGATAAACAGCTATCATCATGGATTATTTATGGTGTGTAAATTCCCACAAAACTCTGTGCTACCATTATCTGCTTTTGCCCATGAGGCTCAGAGAGGTGAAGAAGTGGGCTTAAAGTCATCCTTCTGGTTACTGTAGAGCCTGGACTCACATGTTGGACCTGACTCCATAGTCAGGCCCACACAAATAAGCCCAAGGCATGTCCCAACTATTTTATTTTTTAAAAAAGATTTTTTTATTTATTTGAAAGAGTTACAGAGAGAGGTAGAGACAGAGAGAGAGAGAGGTCCTCCATCCACTGGTCCACTCCTCAGATGGCCGCAATGTCTGGAACTGGGCCGATCTGAAGCCGGGAACCAGGAGCTTCTTCTGGGTCTCCCACGTGGGTACAGGGGCACAAGGACTTGGGCCATCCTCCACTACTATCCCAGGCCATAGCAGAGAGCTAGATCAGAAGAGGAGCAGCCAGGACTAGAACCAGCGTCCATATGGGAATGCTGGCGCCTCAGGCCTAGACGTTAACCCACTGTACTATAGCGCCGGCCCCCAACTATTTTATTTTGAACCAGCCTTCTGGCTGTGGGGCAGTAGTCCTTTTGCGGGGCATGGCGGGGGGGGGGGGGCCTGGATCCTTTCCAGTCTCTGTCATTTAGGAGTTCTGTGTTTCTTTAGGCTTTCCCCAAGTCTCATGGTGCTAGTTCCTGGTTTCCTACTTCAATGCATGAGCATCAAGTGTAAACAGGTAGAAGAGCATTGGTAGACACCTGAAGGTTGGGATTCTGAGTTTCACCTTGAACCTGAGCCTTTCCAGATTTAGGATTGTTATTAGAATGAACCAGTTTCTCCTGAACCTAATCAAAGTGCTCTTTGATTTCCAGTGATTTAAATGCTTTGCCATTGTTGCTATTGCTTTCATCTTTATTTATTTGTAGAACAAACAAAAGGTTAAGATGACTGCTTTTAGAGATGCCATCTGGTAGGCAAACTATTGAACAAAAATATTTTGTTCCTTTCATGTAACTGTATCACTTTGAAATGTAATTAAGTTTCAGGATGGCTGTTTGCTTCTTTTGTGGTGTATCTATTGCCCTATTGAACTTGCGGAAAATTATTCCGGGATGATTTTTATTCAGACAATCTTTTATTGTTTATAGAATATCTTTTTTTTTTTTTTTTTTGCTATTTGTTTGCTTTCAGCTAATTTATTTGCCCACTATTTATGTACCTCCTTTTGGTAACTTCAGTTCTAAACTTAAAAGTCAGGAAAGTAAACAAAGCAAAAGCATAAAAAAATCTAATTTCGCAGGATTTCCATATCTTTGTGGATTTAAAGGTAAAAATGGCAAAATCAGAGCTTAATCTGCCTTTCCACTATGTGTTTAGACATCCTCTAAGCCATACTTGTAGATTAAAAAAAAAAACAGTTGAAAGGTTAGCAATTTAGAATAGTTTAGTTTGTATTTTCAAATAGCAGTTAAAGGAGGGTGTATGAGTCATACAGACAGTACACAGCTATGCATTTGTTGTTTTCCTCAGTCTTGAGCGTCAAATTGTACTTTCTCCTTTGGTTACTTTTTGCCTTGTATTATTTAAAGAGACATGTCCATAAACACTACATTTTTGTTGTACAAAATGTCTCAGCTTTGGGTAACTTTAAACATTTTTAAAAAGATTTACTGTGTTTATTTGAAAGACAGTTACATAGAACAAGGGAGACACAAATCTTCCATCTGCTGATTCACTCCCCATATGGCCCCAAAGCTGGGATGGACAGGCTGAAGCCAGGACCCTGGAACTCCATCCAGGTCTCCCATGTGAATGGCAGGTCCTCAAGTACGTGGGCCAGCTTTTGTTGCTTTTCCAGGTACATTAACAGTGAGCTGGATTGGTAGTGGAGCAGCTGGTACTCAAATTGGTTCTTGTATGGGGTGCTGGTATCACAGGTAGC